TAGTAAAAATGTGTGAGACTCCCATGAAGATTTCTAAAACTATTAATCTACTAACAAATCTACCTTTGTGTGTTGGAGGAACGAATTAGGTGGGTGATAGTTTTAAAAACATTTCTGTTTACATTGTGCAAAATCGTATAGGAATGTTTATGCTCATTTGAGCAGCTAACTGCGCCATTACCTTGTTCGTCATGAGAGACCAACGCTCATAGCGATTTTAAAGACGACGTATCTGTGGGGTTATGCGATCGCCAACAGTCGGGACTACAAACAAGTACCAAAGGAAGGAATACTATGCTGCTTTTAGAATTGCAAATGATACATACACTGAAATTTTTTCGGTCATCCTGTTGTTTACTTATTCATGCATAGACAATAAGGGATTTAGTAACTTTTAAACCAATATGAGGTCTGAAAGGTAGCTGCTGACATGCTAAAATGAGGAAAACAATTTATTATAATGCTGGGCAAGCAAAACTCCAGCCAATGAAATGGAGTGCTTGGTGGTGCAATGGGCTTAAGGATGAATTGTAATTATTTACAATATTTCTCTACAACACGTTTGAGGAAAAGGTAAGCATTTATTTATTTATTTTAGCGAAATAAACTACTGTAGGCAATTTCTTGCATATTATCCTCTGAAGCAGCCAATGTTTTGCGGAAAGCACGAGGCATAGAATGTGCCTTCAGTCACATGGCGCATCACGAGTGGCAAAATGACAAGCCCGGGCAGATTGTAGCTAGCCGGAATACAATTTACCAAAAGGCAAGGACATTAAGAATGATTTACTACTTTTAATTGCGCACTCCCGCGTCCCATTTATTTCCAATGGTAACGTAATAGTCAAGCGCTTGAATACTAATATCATACTGTCTACCTTGCACCACACTTGGATTCACTTCTTTCCTTTGCTCACTGTGGAGCAGCGTGTGTGGCTGGGTCCTATCCTTGTGAATCCATCAAGCGACATTAACTTACCTTCTTTTGTACGTTCTGGCGTTTTGACCGCTTTCCTTTCAAATGTTAGCCTTGAATGAATAGAGAGAGTCTCCAAACACATGTTGAGTGTGGAACCTCATCTCCACCATCCCTGGTTGTTTTGACATCGAAAGTCGATGCATCCATTCATGTGAGCAATGGTAACGCAGCGTAGCTAAGATATAGTCATCCAGTTGTTTTCGATGGCACACCCAAACACCATTTTCAGCCATTGCCCCGGATATCCAACTGAATAGGTGTAGACCACCACAGTCCCTTGACCCTATCGCGCAGTTGTATCTTGAGCATCGCCACTTTGGAGGCACCGGAGACAAATATGGAAGTTGTTTACGTGTAAACTCCAGCCTAAGAAATTCAGGCACCATGGCGTTGCAGGAGTCACTTGGCCGTGACCGTTTAGGTAACGTTGCCTCCAGCTACCCTAAAGCGCCCTTCATGCGCTTGCTAGTAGTTCACTTGGATGCGGTTTTGGCAACTTATCCGCCCTGTTAATTACTTTTAATGATGTCAGGTAAGCGCATGGCGATTTACTCCTCAGGCTTTCTGCGCCTCATACGCCGTTTCCATGGGATTTTTGATTTCGAACGTTGGCATTTGGCAAGTAGTTTCCTTTCGTAAAATAGCGCAAGCTTGCAGTAGGAACTTCAAAATTGTTTCTTTTTTAAGTGAATCAGAGGCAACTCTCTTCTATTCGTCGAATTTCAGACAGCTGAATTTTGCCATTTTATGTGTATAAGTCGCGATTCTGGAGTGACCCTCAATTCAGCTTTGACGCTGATGTCACATGCAGCTTACCGACACTTCTCCGCTTTGATTACAAACCTACTTCAAAATGTGTGTACTTTTAAAACTTCTCAAGGGCAACTTGAGCCACGGAAGTTTAGTTAATGCTCACCACATTCATTGATGGAAATGGTTTCACATAAGTACTCAAACTGCCCTTTTTAGACTTTCCATTTCATAAATCAAACTCTTGTGGATATAAGAAAAATGCGACAAGTTGCGCATTATTCTTTAGTAAAGTGCGTTTATGCGACTCACATTACCTTATTTGAGTAGAAATAAAGCAGCATCACCTCTTGTACCTGGCTCACAGTACCTGGCTACAGTAGAGTGACCTTTCAAATCGGCAGCATTGTTTTGTCTAACGTCTTATGGCATTTGTCCTGGCTTGAGACTACCTATGGCCTTCAATGTGGCTTATAGAAAGTAAACCTTCCTCGGCACGCTTACTGCCCCACCTAGTACATCCAGGATGTCTGCTTCCTGGTCCTAAATGCACTCCCTTCAACAGGAACCAACTCATGGTTCCCTTTATTGCAAAACTTTTGTGGAAAAGGAATCTACACATCACTTGGATGTGCCACGTGTTCCCACAAGTGGTATTCACTGTAAATATGCATCAATTTAAAAGTGGAATCCCTTATTGCTACAACCACAAGACGAATTGTATGGATTACTCGCTGAGATTACGCTAAAGAGGGTTATTTTGCTTTAGGAAGTAATTAAACGCAAATTGCAAAGTTTACCTGGAACTCGTTTATGGTATCTCCTTCAATCTTTCACTTTAGCCCTCGTAAACAAGGCAACTAATGAAGATAAAATTATACCACCTACTTCAAACACGTTCTCAGGCCTTCATGCCAATCCCCCGCACAGCCTTCGGCGTTCTGCAGCCTCCTCTTAACACTTCATTATTTCGAGGTAATCTTGAAAGCATAGCTAATATAATCCAGATTAATGAGGGCCCTTTCCCAAAGACTCGCTTTGATTTCCATTCGAATGTCTGCCTCAAGCTTGGGATTGGATGCCGGAGTTCGTCTGAGACGCAGTCGTAACTGCCTCAAGTACGCCCAATAGGGTTTTAAATGTCATTAAATATACGAAAAGTTCGACTCTGTATTTTTTTCCAACTTTTCCTATGATATGCAGTTTTATTTATCGCCCAACGGTAGTTGAGATAAGTTCCTAAATTAGGAGAAATAAATTCAAATTAGGCGAAGGGTATCTTTTGTAATGGTAGCACTTTGGTGAGTTCGGAGCCGAGACACTTACCGACATCGTGTTTATTTTGAATCCTACTGTCTAAATCGTACTCGCTATCTAGAGGTACTTGGCACACAATAAATACAAAGAGTCAGACTTAATGTTTTGGTGGACATTTTCAGCAGGTGGCGCAAGCTGTATTGATCACTGCACCATGTTTGGGTCTGCAAAGAATTGCGTTATTGGACTCCTGTGATGACGTCATCGAGGTTGTGCACAGCCTAGTCTGCAAAAGATTGATCTTCGCGTTCACCCACTCGCGTCCCTCTATCTTGCGCCTACGTGTCGCTACTTCCAAAGGGAATGACTTCAACTTCCATTACTCACCACTCACCGTGGCTAGCTTAAATGAAAAAAAACCTAGGTAGTCACAAAGCCTGTTAATCAACCAATTGATCGTTCAAGGGAATCCGGCTTCGTCTTCGTAGCCTACCCAGACTACCACAAGTCAACATAATGGCACTGCACGTAAAACTAGCACTTCTTGTTCCCCTGATTCAAACACGCTAGTTATTGGTTTAAGGTAAATTTATACCAATGTCTGAGTGATCGTTGTTTTCCTTGCATGATTTCTTACTAAGTAGAACGCACCGCCATTTGTGCAACTCCAACAAAACGATGTAATGCAAACGCCTCGGAACTTCAGATGAAGAGAGGTTTCGCATCACTACCAGATCTGGCCCAAGAAAGACCGGGGACTTAAAATACCAATTTTGCATTAGGAGTTTAAAAATGATTGCCTTCAAACGCCTCACCAAAATCCCTATTTCCTCTTTGTAAGTCCGTGACCACCTGCAGCACGGCGGCTATCCAAATAGAAAGCAGCATGCCTGTAGTGGGGAGGATGCACACCGACCAGTTGCATCAGTCCCTACACTACAGTTTGTAAGTCTACGTCCCAACTCTCATCTGCACACCACAAGACGCCTAAATGGCTAAATTCAGGTGACCCAGCCTACACATTACACATCACCGCAACTGCTGGGATCGGAGCTGCAACCGCCGACTTCCGGCCTCTGAGATAGGGAAAATCAAAAACCACGCTACCGGAAACTCAACAACCTTGTTTTTGCAATGTGTCTAACACTTTGAGTGCCCCAAAAGTGCAGCCCTTGTCAGAAACACAGCCAAGCGTAATGTACGAGCTCAAAAGACCCGTCACCAAGCCTGAAGATTCAGCGCCTGGACACGGTTAACAAGTAACGGAACGCCAGCTCAGTAGCCCAAAGAAAGAAAAAGATAAGAGAGGATCCAATACTCTATTGCACCTATGTGAAAGACAATATTTTGAGTCGGCAATATCCGAATTCATAAGCAATAGCTCACATTAAATAAAGGACTAATGTAAATGCAAATTGACGGCATGCAAGCGCCCAACTCCCCGCACGACAACACAAAGTGATTTGAACAGCAGAAAGTAGCAAGGGAGAAGACGGGTGTTAACGCCGCCTCCGTGCCAACGACAAGCAAAGATAGTGCTTTACTAGTCTATTATTTTTGTACATTTTCATAAAATAAATGTGATCGGAGGGAGAAAGTCGCATGTCAGGAGGGAAAACGAGATGAAAACAAGATGGAACGTTGTTGGGATGGCGCCTTTGAGATTACACATGGGAATAGCAAAATAACCGGAGGTAGTACTACAAAAGTGACTGTACAATCACGTTTTTAGCCAAGGGCAGCTATGTATCAAATAGCCGTAGTGGCCAGATGTTAAATACCTTGTGAGCGTGAAGCTGCCTTGATTTTCACATTTGTCCGGGAAAAGCCTCACAAATCAGAGAACAGAAGTGATAAATTTTGGAAATTTAAATGGGATTAGATTGACCGTTTTGGACAACAGAGACCAGGTATCGCCAGACTTGGTCGCCTGAAGACTGAAAAAACTAGGCTGGTCCTCATCAGTTCAACAAACAGCGCCTAAGACGAAATGTAACATTCCCACTCACTACGTCTAGTCTTCTTCCTCCGTCCACTCAGAGATTGTCTTTAGCGACGGTGGTGCAGACCCAGAGAGATTCAGACGAGTGCGCCTAGACAAGTTCCATACCACCTCCGCACTGGAAACCGGAGATCTTGATGGCGAGTAGCTTTCAAGAGTCCCATTTTCGATAAGAGTTCGAGAACAGTTCTCCACGTCAGCCCAATTAACCTATTGTGGGAAGACAACTTTGTTAGCCACTGAAATCAAGAGAGTACGGACCTCGAAGAAGCCTTAACCACCTTTCCAAGGTTTGCTATTGTGAACAAGTCGCGCAGGTCGATACACTGAAGGGACTTGGAAGCTGGAAACCCAGGGTCATTTGCACAAACCGGTGGGAGGTTTTGGTTGTGTGATAACAACAGAGCTAAAGCTAGACAGGAAGGACGAAACAGAGCCAAATTCGTTGCACATAGTGCATTCTCGACCTGCCGGACGAGATATGTCGGAAGTTCGCCGCAGCCCAGACCTACATCACTCAGAAACGCAGAAAGGAAGTCGAGGGTGGTAGCAGATGTCGCACCAACGGCCGTAACCGTCGATGCGCCAAGCTTTGTCAAAACGATGTCCACCATTCTGACCAAATCAGCGACGGACCCGCCACAACGAGCGAGCCGCACAAGGCTGTCAACAGTTGGGCGAGGCTGCTAAAGGGGCAAAAGCAACCTCATTAATGCCCGATCGTCTGCCGACCGAATGTGCCACATAAGACATACCTTGCCGGTTTCGAATTTCGATGCAATATAGTAGCAGGCCGTTGCGACACACATCATGTACTTCGGCTTGACTCTCACACGGGTGATAAAGGTATCAACAAGACAGACAGCCTTACAGAAGACAGCAGGAGACAAATCGTAATAGGCGCGATGAAGCGATAAAAGGCGCGTTAAGGACTCGTCCCTCATTGATGCATCTACTTTATCCTCAGATAGCTAAAGATCTTGGTAAGTACATGCCAAAGAAAGCTACCGAGTCGACACCAAAGAGAGGCGATATGTTTGAGTAGAACTGGTGCTCCAGCGGCAATAAACGCGCCGATGCAGAATTAGGAAAAACCTGTGGAAATAAGCAGAAACATGTAAATACCGAAAGAGTAGCCGTCTGAGGACAGAGTGGCGTGAAATTGGAATTGCATAGAGAGCTTAGGACGCATGGCATGGACTGGTCTTCACAAGAATAGCAATTCGGATTGCCCAAACTCCACTCTTGGAGGCCTTGAAAACCACAGACGGTTGCTGGTGGAAAAATACACATCGAAGCGCTGGTTGGGAATTGATTCCTCGTGGCGGTAGCGAGCATCGCTAGACAGAACAAAAACAAAACAAAGCAGCACACGCCGTTGGTCCCCACAGACGACGTATATAGTGAGCGAGACCCAATCAGCGGCTAGAAAACCCCAATAATTTATTGGCTATTCAAATCGCTACATTTCATAACTAAATTATTCTTTAACTACTATTTATGCAGTAGTTATCAATGCATAGCTTTTCCCTAGTTGAAATTCGAAACGTAAATATACTAGCAAAATGATTATAAAATGGTTATTGAACTAATGCCTTCAATTTTATATTCCAGTACCTAGTGTGTTGTCAGTTGGATTCAAGGTCAGTTTGCCATTGGTTGTTGCCATGTTTTTGGTCCCATATATAGTTCTCGTTGTCGTGGCGCCCGCCGTCGTTCACTTTGTTTCCTTATTTACCCGTGTATGGCGATTGTCGTGGTGCTAGTTTGTCTGGAAGTCGCCTTCTATCTCTCCAACTTAAGTTTTTGTGATTTTTCCATTGATTTTCTAGGCTAGAAGCCTACTCCATAGGAATGTTTGTAAGTTTATTTTTCCGGTCCTGCTCACACAGGTTTGCAAGTGGGAAAACTTGGCCATTTTGCCCTGTTTTCTGTCAAACCGACTGATGCGTCCATGCATTGTTTTGTTGATCGTAGGCAGCAGTTTGTCTTCTAATTTTCTTAATGCAACTACTGGTAGAAGATTAGTTATGTGAGGTGTTCCATTGTACAACTGGGTCATTGTTATTTCCTGAAATGCCTAGATGGAGTAGGTCATTATCAATTTCCATATTTGAATTTAGTAAAAATCATACGGGGTCCTTCGTTTACTCTATTTAAATGTACATTGTAACTATTCTTTTGAATCGTGATTAACGGTTGTCCATATTAATGTACTTGACTTGCTTTACGGGGACTGGTGTAATTGGCGACCGATCTGCTTCCTTTTGTCCTCGCCGAGTTCACTGTTGTCACTGCTCTTATAATTAGCGCGAATGGAGTCGGTTTTCCCTTTCAGCCACCGTATTGGCTTTCTTCTGCCTACCGCAATTTCGGTCTGTCGTCTTTTCATTCACTTATGCGGGCAGTTGGGTACTCTAGATCGTTAACCGCGGTTGTCAATGCGCTTTCATATGCTTGCTTTGGGTGTGGTCTCCCCATTGTTTTATCCTCGAAACATGGTGCTTGGGGGAGTCGAGCCATCTCTATTTTCAATAATTATTTCTATCAGGTACTGCCGTGGTTTTCAATAGAGACATTTGCTAGAAAATTTAATCTCGTATCGCTGTGGTAGTTCTGATGGCAAGGTTCGTGTGAAAGTGTCCGTTGGTCTTTGTGCATAAACCATCGGGTGGGTTTCCTTGGGGTAAATTCAACGGGTGATTAATGGTGTTTCTGCAAGTGTGAAATGCTTCATTCGCCGTCGTGCAGCAGGGACGGGCATGTAATGACTTCTCTGGTGTGTTCCCCTAAGGTTGAGTTCAATACCTACTATCGTGCTTGAATTTCTAATGTTTTCTTGGGCTCCTCCATCTTTTTATTTACCCAAACGGCTCTTGGAATCGAACTCGTGGACTTTCTTCTTTTCATTTGGCTAATGATTTCTTGTCTACCTGTTCGGAATGAGTTTGTCCAACTTGTGACCAAGTTCTCAATGGCTTGCTTTGGGATAAAGTTCCCGCCTGTTTGCTCCCACCTTATCCGTTTTGGAATGAGTATGGGGCAAATCGTTTTCTGAAATGCTCGTAATTCGGGCAACCATCCACTCTATCTTTTTTTTATGCCACATTCATAGGGCTTCCCAGGTTAACCGACGACCTGCTAGTTGTCAGTTTAAACTCCTCTAAATGGGCATCTGTTATGCAGTTGGTAGAGCTAATTCTCTTGTAATAATTAATAGTACTGGACTGTTTACCACCGAGCTTCGACTCGTATTGCTGTTCTTGAAGTTCTTTTTTAAATACTGCGCGGTTATTGCTACGCCCTCCACAAGTGATGGCGCGATCGATAGTGTTGAGAGCTCGCTCTCGATCACTCAATCAGCATAAGGTACTTCGAACTCCGAAAAAACACCTGATAGGAGTTTAAGGTGCACTGGGTTTGCGCCAAAGAAATTTTAAGCGCCGAGCAAGTCTGACTTCATTTAAACGCGATTGGTCCAGTCTGTTAACCTCCTTCACTGTCGGCGACATTATTTCTTCCAGAATTGTCAGGCATGGTGCACCAGCCCTGGCTTGTCTTGGATACGTCTTGATAGTTGTCGCGGTAGCTCTTTGTGTTGATAATTAGTGTGATTTGATAATGTCAAGGGCGTGTGTGCAATTTGTGTGTTTGGTCTGCTTGGGACTTGGGTGGAGAGTTTGGTATGCAACTTGCTTATAATTTCGCTGAATGGTTAAAATGCCATTAGTAAAAGTACATTTTGACAGCTCCAAAGTCACACCATACCTAGGACAGAACAGTGGGACGTATACGGCCGCCAAGTTCATCGTCTCATACGAATTATGCTCGAATTCTCTTGTCGGTTCTCTGTAAGGCCCAAAATGCAATTTTATCAAAGGACGACACCGATAAGCACGGTTGAAAGTGTGTCTATCCCCGCCTGTCCGAGTTCAGTATCGATTATGGGTTTGTGGATGAGGTGTAAATTGCTCTTGAAAAATTTTCGTGTGCTGCGATGAGTCGGGAGATCATACGTTCCTAGATGTCGTGCGAGCGTATGTGCATGCATTGCTCAACGATGTCTGTAGGATGCAGCAGTGACTCATGCGTACACGATGGAGCGTTGCCCCGAGCTGACTGCAATGCAATTGTGCGAATGGTTTCCTTTTGTGCAATCTCGATAATGTGCGTACTGGTTGGGGATGCACTTAGCCTTGCCAGAGCGGATTGGCATCCACGCCTCACTCATCATCTGACCACGGTCAACCTTGAAGGATATAAACGAGCGTGAAGTGCTCCTTAGGCTGCTTTTAAGTGTCCTGATGTGGAACGCACCAGACGAGGTGAACCCCACACTGGTTTTAGGTTTTGCACACTGCAGATCACCATTGAGGCCGTGCTAAATCGCTTCACGTGGTTCGAGGTGCTGTAAGCACATAGGGTTTCGTGGGCTGCCTCTGTGTGGGTGCTTGCTGTGCCATTGTGTTGTAGTTAAAACTCAATGCAGGGTAGTACGCGCATAGTTGGTTTGTTATTTGCTGATTAGTTGAAATGTTTAATGATCGAAGATGAATGGTGCCTTGAGCACGAGCCATTATTAACGTTCGACGGGATTTGGCTACTTCATGACTTTAACTAAAAATGACCAAACGAGGACAACATAATCGTTGTATTATATGGTTATATGTGTTGTTACTAACTTACTTCCAAGACAACCAGAAATTTTCAGAAAAGAATGGTTATGAACTTCCACAATAGCCTTGGTGGTGCTGTCATACTCGAGTAAAAATGGGCTTTAAGTGGAGACAGACCACATTGCCTTTCAAGTGTGGTTAAGAGCACGAGACCAATAGCTCCATGCAGGTGTAGTAGAAGGTAGCGTGAGTGGGCGGATTTCTGCCAGGAGTTGGCTTGCCTATCGTGAATGCCACTGTGTAGTGATGCTTGTGAACAAGGAAAGAGTATGGCAAATGTAGAAATTCATAACACAATAAAAATACTCAAAGAAAGTGGAAAATATGGTTCCACAGGGATTAGACCCGTGTGACCTATGATGTCTACTCAGCATGAGCCAAAAGAGGAACATCTGCTTATTTGTAGCAGAGTGGAGAAGTCCTAAGGAGGACAAAATGGAGCAGGAGTGTGATGATCGCAATTACTTGGTTTACCAGTTCTGCTCTATTCCCTGCTAGGTTACTCAATGAGGAGCCTTCTTCAAAGCTCTTGTTTGAAGTTGTTAATACGGCTTTCGTGAATGCGCAAATCCCATCCTAAGGATCGTACTGATGTCATGCTTCTGAACTGAGTCCTCAAGTTAAAATCGACCAACGTGTGGATACGGGAGGATTGTGATGGTGTGTAAGGCAGAAGAAGTTGGCATCTACAAGTCAAAGGATAAATGGCAGCCTGCACTAGGAAGCCAATGCTGAGAACCATTTCGGGCGGCGGATGCTAAGAAATGGTTTATGAATGCGAATTACAGGAGACAGTAGCATTGGAGTAGATGGACACCTCTTGCTTATTTTGGAGGACGAAGTAAAACGAGTTGAACAGAAGCAAATGAATTCAGAGATCAATGACAGATCCCGTTCAATGGCAATTAATAGGAGGCACTGAAATAGCAGGAACAAATAACTGTAGTAGATTACAACTGATGTGTTCAAGCAAAGAACCCAAATGTCATGCCGCATTATTTGCTGACTGAGTGACACTAGCACTCCTAATAGCAAACCAAGAAGCCATGAATTGAATGAGAACATTTACAGCTAGTAGCAGTGCAAGAGCGCCTTATTTTATGCCTAAACGTCATACGTAGAGGCTGCGTTGGTGATTGAGCTAGACGAGGGTCCAACAGCGGTGGGAGACAATGAGAGGCGTGACGGACCACGCGCATCGGTGAGTCAACGTCCTTGTGACGTCAGCATCAGCAAAATTCGTCCTATGTCCAGCCACCCAGGTTCCTCTTATGTTAAAGTGGTAGAGTGAGTTGTACCCATTTTTAATCCACTAGAATTGTTGGCTAAAGGCATTTACTTACCATGGTTATAACAAAAGCAATTGGGGACCCTTAAGAAGCTTCGAACTGTGTAAAAATAGTAAAATAGTAGTAGGTCAAATAAAGTAAAATCGTACCTTTGTTGTAAAACCTGCCGACTACATAGGTCTCAGTCGCATTAACGATATGGAACATGTCATTCAGGGTTTGAAATTGTTGTTAACGCGTTCCAAGAAATATAACAAAATCCAATTAACAGGTACGCAGCCCACACAAGAAATAAGAAGCTGAGCTTGTGGTAGAGTCACATGTGCAACGACGTTACTTGCAAGTTTTAAAACACTATTTCATGACAAGAATGCAAAGACTGCAAAAATAGCCTCATTAGCAGAATACGCTTAACCTATCACTTAGTTGATATTTGACATTGCTACGGCCAGTGTGCTGACCCAAGTCCATCTCCACCCTGTTCCCCCCTCTTAAGCATGAGGATTGACACCTAAGAAATCCACAAGAAGCGGATCCTATCTGATCCATCCCATAGGCATTGTCATGTCAACGAGGCATAAACGGAGTTGGGACCACTCCGCGCAGCGGGAGAGCGATGTACCTCCTTGCACCAATAAGAGGATGGTCATCGTTTTACAGGCAAAACAGAAATTGAATACATAAAAGCTTTACCGTTTTAAGGAGGATGCGTTTGAATCACCAGTCTTCCTCCAAAAGCATGAGACCTCTACCAATATTTAAACATAAATAAACCGGTTCCCCTTCCAAGCCTGTTTATACCGGATTAGATGTTATCCCTCGAACTGCACGAATTACACTCGACTGCCTTTCCATGGTCTTCCCTACTATTTGCTAGCACTGATTTCTCGGTTGAAACGCAGTGATGTCGACCGGGACATTGGTGAATTACTACCACCATTGGTAAACTTTATCGTACCAATGCCACTTGCATTTCATTAGGTAACACTGTAGGAAAACCTCTAAAGTCCCCAACAAATGGAGGAAATTTGAGTGGTGAAAAATACAGCTAAGTAAACTTAGCAAATCCCAACAGAACCTTGAAAATTACTTGAACGCAATAAATGATGTGTTAAAAAGCATTAGTCCTGCCAGAATCTCACAAACGAAAGGTGCTACAACTTGATAATGTTCCTCCGCCCAACCATGAAACTCAGCAATCACATCCGATGAGTTCCCAAACTCAATTAATGCTAATTTTACTCCCAAAGAAGCTTAAAGGTATGCATATGTGGGTAATTGAGTCTCCTTTCACCTATTCACATCAGATGTGGGTGTTAATAACGCATTGTTGTTCAGTAGCGCCGAAATGTGGTTTGGTGGACTGACTCAACTGAAGTGAAACAAAAGCAAGGAGCTCTGAGATCTTTAACTTCGTCCACAGGTCTCGTCTCCTTCCCACCGGAAAGCGGACACGTGTAGACACGCACAAATTAGTCTCTTACAGGAATGCCCCCATAACTAACATCCATTTCCAGAGAACCCGAATGACCACACAGGATGTTAAGGACGCCCAGTCTCGCCTGGAGGATGAGGGAAGTACACTACTCGTAGCCCACCCGAGCTTGGGACAAAAGACTCAAAAAAAAAATACCCCAAATGTCTTCTTATTGTCAGCACCTCCATCTTGTAATAGCAGTCACTAACGCATAAGATAAGTGTCTGATGACTTGAAGATGGTTAGCAAGCCGAATTCTTCGCCCAATTAGTGTCTTCGCCTAACAAAAAGATCTGAGTCCGGGAGGAAAGGAAAAAGTGGGAGTGACAACCCATCCTGACAGTAACTTTATATAATGCGTCAGTCAGTGCAATAATTGGTCAGCCCAGCACGCAGAAGTTGTTTGCACGACATAGAAGCGAATCCTGAGAAATAGCTCAACGTTTCTCCTGGTTTCCAACAAAATTATCCACAAGTCAATTCAGAGTTTCCCACGATAACCTACCAAAGGTATGTCATGTGACAATCTCACACCACTTGCCATCATCTATTCATATTGGCTTTGAAATGTGAATTCACCACGTCAAATTAACCACACTCCCAACTATGTCGAACGATTCTGGCTGTACCTGAGGCTGCAAAAAGGGAAGAAGCCTAAGCTTTTTTTGCAAGACCCGCAACCAATCACATAGGAAGTAGCAGTTCTCGTCGTTTGATCAGTGTGATGCGCGGCTCTAGCACTGAGCTATTGAAAAACCAAGACCACCACGTATTGTGATGCTGACAAAAACTGATGACTCTCATGATAGAATACAAGGTGTAAAACTGAGCCCGCAAGGTAGACCTATATAGCCCTGACGTCTGGAGTGCAGTGCATCGCAATCGGCAGCGAAGACATCTAGTTCAGACTAGTGTCATCAAGGTATTATCTCCCATTCCCTACCCGTCGTACCTTGTACGATCATCTCCAAAACAGAAAGAGGAATGTTCCCGACAGTAGAGAGCTTACAGAACCAACATGTTCCTTTTTGCGACGGATTTCAATTGTGGAGCAGTTGGATCCTGAAAGGTCTACTGCTAACAAGAGAACCATTTCACACGTTGATTCAGCATCAGTCACAGGTGTCGGTTCGTATAACTCACGAGTCCCAAATCTTAAATCAGTTGATTACATAGCCATCAAACCAATTTGTGCCCAGAATTCAGAAAAATCCTTTTGGAAAGCGTCTGAATTAGCTACGCCAAGTGTGGAAGGGGGGCTAAAGGGTTGGACATAAGCCTTGAGGATGAGTGAAATGATTAATGAGTTGTAGCCATAAGCAAATCGCGTGAGAATACGCACACGTTTTTTGTGGGTGTCACATGTTTCAGAGGATCCACAAAACCACTGTTTTGACACAAACAAGAAAAAAAATAAGCGGTGGAATGGGAATACGGCTCTTGAACATGCCATCATCACAACAAAATAGTGTCGCTCCAAGGGCTTGATGGATTATCACTCGCATCGATTCGGGTAGCGCAATTAGTGACAGCGACGCTAGTTTTGCGCGACGGGCACACTTGAAAAAAAAAACCATCTTGACATGGTGATAGGTCAGTCGCCTCATTTAAAATGCACATACATAATTCCCGAGGCTGCAGGAATGCATGAGTGCACGATGGCCATAACGGCATTTCTGAGATGCTAGATCCTAGACTTTCCAGGCTCTCCCATTAAAAATATGCGTTATGAATAGGCTTCTTGATGAATTTCTTCAAATAGTGTATTTTTGGTCAATGGGAAAACTGCAAGGTGAAACGGAAGGACAAGGAACATTGATGGCCAAACCACTACGCCAGATTAAGATGAATCAAAGTGAACAACAATTAGCCGTCAATAGGAAGCGGACGTCCCATGTTAGTGGACCAAGGAAACAACCACTGACCTTTGGTATACGATGAAAATTTGTCAAATGACAAATGCATGTCAATTTCTACATTCATGAAATCATTTGACTATTATAATTGACATGAAAGACCAAGCTAAAAACATGTAGAAGTGAAAATTCGTGGAATTTCGGCACAGCAGTAAAAGCTGCCGTGCAAAAAACATCCCTTATAAGCGCTAAGCCTTCGAAGTTGCAAAGCAAAATATCGACCTGGAAGAAAAGGACAAACGCCCGACAATCACGAAAACCGACAGGCACCAGAAGTTTAAAGCGGAGGACAAAATGACAAAAAGAAACACGTCAATATGACAGCACCGCGATACACTTAGTGGACGATTCCTAGATGCACACTCGAACCGGATGCTGTCCGTACAAACGGAGACCAAATAACAGTTTGTGTGAAAAACCCTCGATCTATAAGCCCACCCGAACACAATGGAACCACTTTGAGGGTCAAAATAACAATCGCATACCGAAATTCAGTATTATAACCAAATGCCATAGTGATGGGCCAAAAGTGATAAACGCCTCAAGCATGACCTTAGGTGACTCACGAACATCGGCAGTTTCAAAGCTCCACCCTCATCCGCTTCAGCTCAGAGACAAAGCTACAAACTACGTAGTCTTGGACGATGATTGGGTCAAGTGGTTGGATCTAGCAGTCAAAAACCAAGTAAACGCAATGATGAAAACTGAGACAAATTTCCGTGCATTGACATTGCCACCGTGAACACAGGGATGGAAAAGGACAAAATCTTTTAATTGTAAGCACGCAAAATTACCGAATGGTAGAGCAAGTAAACAGATGTGATGAAATGACCAAATCTTAAAGTGGAAGTCACATTAACAAGGCCATCACATTTCAACACTGCAAATCAGATTTTGTAATAATTCAGTTCTGTGAAAGATGGATACAAGAAGTTGTAACATGAGTTACAAAGGTATTTGTGGAGAACGTTCAAGTGGAGGGAAGTCAAGATGGTTAAGTGAGCGCATAAGAGCTGTTGAAAACGACAGCCTGAATAAATTATATGAACAAGCGTCTTAGGATTCATAAGAGAAAAGGACTGTGAACACCACTTCAAGATAAAAGGTTTATACAAACAAAAAATTGCCGAAGACCAGAGCACAAACAGAAAACAAAAGAAAATTAAGATGCAATATACTATTCACAAATGGAATATGTACAATCTTCATCTAATCAACGCCTCGGCGTTACCCCAAGCTGGTAACGGCGATTGGAAAACCATATCCTTACACTTTCCCTTTCATAACCAATGGAGTCTGCCAGCCGAGAAAGTTCCTCGCCTGAAACAACGATTACTCTTCACCATATCAACGATAAGCCTAAAGAAGTTAGTGGAGAGGCAAACCTCGTGGTCTGGAATTGCGTTTGAAGTGCTGGATTAGCTGCTCCACGGCAGCTTCACTAAAAACCGCTCGAGACTTGCGGTTGCGACGTGCGGGAAGGAAACACTTTACAGGTTCGAGGTCACCCTCACTTACAACTCTCTCACGGAGATCCAAGAGATCTACCATGGCCTCGTTAGAGTGGAGGGATGACCTCTGGCTCGTACCCAAGGCCACCTGCTCTTCCGATTCGACTTGATCCAACCACTGCTCCAAGTAGGGCTGGGCGCCCAGTGCGGCCCGAAGAGTGACGTCAAGCTTCTCAAACCTAGTACCGATAAACAGAAGCAGCTACTCACTCAAACACTAAATGCTTATAATCACAGCACAAAATGATTCTTAGAGTGAAAACTGCATCTACTTTGAACCGCCAAGTCAGTAGGTGCCCATGGAACATTTCAGGGTGAACAGTTCGGGATTTGAGGTCAGAGTACAGTACTATTGTTGCCGACTTGCTTCTGAAGTTCATGAAAGGCTTCCAAAATGGACATATCAAAGACAATAAAAATCCAAAATCGATTACGAATACGGGCCCCATAAACTGACCTAAATTTGCGAAAATCATCGCGTTCTCGGTAAAGTTAAAATTGGAATTATAACAAGGGGACTCGGCGAACAGAAAAACAGTCGTAAGAAATGCGCTCCGTTATACTATTTTCTACTAAGATGTGTAAGTAGCAAGTCAACCTTAGTGTCATTAGGTGTAACATGGGTGAGTAGTAATTCCATGAACAAGGCTTTATGCAAATGACAGGGTAGCAGATAGGCCAGAAACAAGAACAAATACCTGCACAAAAATGATTGGCTAAACTTTAGCCCGCCAGTAGTAGTTTCGGAGATTTTTCGACTCAACTTTGCCTGTGACAGAGCCCTGGCAGTACGATAACGCTTCAGACGGTCTGCCAATAAAGCTAACTTTGAGACGTTGTATCCGCCGACTACAATGTTGCTACTAGTAGCGAAACTGTCTTTAGAAATTTTTGATGCCAACTTCTTCACTAAAAAAGAACATAACAAGCCTAGGTTCATACAAAGAGATTGAATTTATTGAGTTCGCATATCTAACCTTTCTGATTGAGAAGCTTTTGCCCAGCATCACTTGACACATCAGGTTCGGAGTTCTCATCGAACTCTATTTGTTCAGAGGGCTCCTGTTCATCCACTGCTGCACATGACGTCGGAACTGCAGCTAGCGGAGCTTGTTTGAAAACAAGACCCTCATTTACACGTTCAACAGTTGTATTTGCAAGAATCAACTGACCTGCCACATAGACAATACTCAAAAGAAGAACCACAAAGAATCAAAGCAATAGAACAACCAACCCACCAGAGGGCGATATGTAAAATGGGATATTGTCGGAGCCTGATATGGTTATGGCGCTAGCAGGCAGCATAATGACATGGGAGGGAGGAAACTGAGAGACATCGGCCGAGGAGTTATTGTATACAGGAAGAACGGAAAGATCGAGTGCAGAATCACTCATGAGTGTAGCCAATTCATCCATGAAACGCTAAAAGAATGTTTAAAAGCATTTGCTTCGACAAAGAATTAAATGGCCAATTACAACTCTCTTAAGCAGTAACATATCGTTTGCACTTAGAATAAGGCTACATAGTTTCAAAATAACAGATACTTATGATAATGAAAAGGCGAAATAGATAAGACAACGCTAAAAATATAAGCACAGATGATGGTGAGACATGATACCAAGGAATACTTTACGGTAAATTTATTCATATTCATAGACTTTCCACAGAATTTCTTCGAAGAGGTACCCGAAAGACATATTACAGGCTTAAATCTCCCAATAGAGAACTGCAGAGGATAAATGCCATAACGATGTGCAACAGAAACTTCTCCTCCCAATATGTTACTGGCAATACCCCAAAAAAATCAACATCGAAGCCATAGATAGAACGCAATAAAAGTGGTGAACTGCACACTTAGAACTCAACATGCCACTAGAACAAAACAAATCCGGGACCACGCCGATGCCACTCGAACGAGACACGAATGGCACCAACTGCCCGCGCTGTTTGCGAGATCAGTCAAACAGATTCAGAAGTTGCTATGAGTATTTGGTGTATGGGCGGAATGTAGAAAACATGCTAAGTGAATCGAGAATGCTATACAGCGCCGATGATGTCACAGACAAGTGAACGGTAAAGTATGAGTTTTTCAAAGAAAGTTCTCATGTAACTTTATATAGGTTTCAACATTCCTGTATGCAAATGTGTATATGTGATCATCTTTTTTATGCATTCCACAAGTCTCAACGTGAAAGAATTTGCTTACGAATCCCGCACTGTGTGAGTGCTGACTTAATGTCGAGACTATGATCATCAGGTAAAATTTCTGCAATGCATTTAGGTAAACAAGGTCTCTTTGCTTGTGGTTACCTTTATCCTTCAATCAATTTCATATTTAATAAGCTTGTGCAACATGCTGATTTGCCCTTTGTCTTCATTCCAAACGTCGTGCCTACACAATCGGCTTATTCAATTATGTCTGCCTCCCGCCAAAGTCGATTGAACCATGAGAGGGCGCTAACTACGACTTTAGTCTGGCTTTTGTTTGCTAGTTTGTTGAGGGTAAGCATCCAGTTGCGACTTGATGACTTTATTCGAAACATGCCATGCTATTACTACTTGGTGACGTGGAAATATGCACTAAAGCGTTACTACATTTTCTATTGCGAATAATTCATCAGAGCTTCCATGTTTAGTACTGATTAACCTATTTCTCATCCATTTTGAACGGATGAATTTCTGGTTTGCAGTATAAACATGGTAATACACCATCTTGTAGTACTGAACTTCAATCGAGACTTCTTTGCAGTCATTCATATTCTCAAACAATAGTGGTGGTGATGGTGGTGTTAGTTTTGGACGCCAATATCACTAAATAGTTCGGTGCTTACCATTTTGTTTCTGATCTATTTCAATGAACCTTGCCGTAGCAGACATCGGTATGCATCTGGAAGACGTGGGAGAACATGGGGGTATGTTGTTTTTACACGTTAATTACTCACGTAGCTGCGGAGAATGTGCCCCAGTTTATTGAACAGTCGGGGATGGTGGATACGATGCCCTTAGCAGGTGGTCGAGGTTTTCTAGTGGATTTTAATAGTGATGATGCTCCGACCAGTCGTCCAGTTAAACGTCGAAAAATGACTGCTTTAGAATCCCGTTCAAATCTCCACTCAGAGGATTTCCTTTTCAAGCGGATTCCTATGTCTGGTGAATATGTTCCCATCACGTTTTCCAATGGTCATCGACGATATCTTCTTCTCGAAAGCAAGGAGTATGAAGAGTCAAATTCGCATAGTTTCACATCTTGCCGGAAGGATTGTAAACGGTTGCTTCCTGGTGATCTTTACAAATTGGTCCAAAGCGCAGAACAACTCGTAGTAATTCCGTTGATTGTAAAAGCGATATTTAGAATATGTGTCGGCGTACCATTGGAGCGTTCGAAACTGAGCCTTTATGTTCCATGGATGACCAACTCTGGGTAAAGAAATATGAACCAACCAGTTACCTAGATTTGATATCTGCGGAGGTTAGTGGATTTGTTTCGTTCTCACTTCCTCTCTCAGCAAATAAATCGTCAGCTTTTGTGCTGGCTGAAGACTTGGAGCCGTAGTGTATTCAGCACTGAGCCAAAGGCAGCGGCTGCGCCTTTGATGTCATCACTGTCAAATAATGCTGATTCGAGTAATCGCCAACACCATTGTTTCCAGATGCAGGACGCCGATGCAAACATAGCTCAGTTGGATCACAAGGACAATCTCAGACCTCGTTACCGAGTTGTACTGCTTTCTGGTCCACCAGGCGTAGGAAAAACCACTCTGGCCCATTTTCTCGCTCGGCTTGCTGGATATCAGCCAACTGAAGTCAATGCTAGGTCCTTTTGTTAGTCCTGTTTACACTTTACCCAGCTGTTTATAAGTTTACTAGCCAGGAGAATAGTGCTAGTTGATGAGGATTTAAATTTTCTACCGCCTTTGCGTTAATCATTGAAAGGGAGTAGGCTGGATGCTTGATGAGTAGCCTTAAGGCTTGTGAAGTCAGGCAGACCGCATCATATTAGGAGTTGCAGTTGCACGCGTTATCCACTTGTCCACTTTGCTCTTTAGTGACGACCGGAATCCGATAGTAATTCGGGAGCTCCTCGAGGCCGTTGTATCCAATCAGGCCAGTTTAAATGCCTCTGGTAGTGAGCAGGTACTCAAGCCCTCATGCTTGATAATCGACGAAGTTGACGGTGCATTGCCCGCTACGGTGGAACTTCTGGCGGAGGCGGCCGCAGCCCCTTTGGTTCAGGAGCGAAGACGAGGAAAGAAGAAGGCAATTGCCTTGCGACGTCCCGTTATTTGCATCTGTAATGACTTGTATGTACGGTAGAGTTGTTTCGGGACCTATTCCTACCACTACCTTAGTTGTATTCGCAGTTCTGAAGTTTTTGACATTGACTTAATCTGAATTTGATTTAAAGCTTTGGTAGATCCCATATTTATTGGCTTTTGTGACCGCTTGGTAATGAATAATTTAATCGAAATACGCAGTAAGTGCGTTTAGAAATAAGTACATAGTAGGCAGTCTCATTGCCAATTAAGTTATCCAACAAGCTTTTGTTCTCAAGCTCAAATGCACTGATTTATAACAAAATGGCTAATGGTATTTTTACTAGATACGCACCATCTCTCCGGTCTTTGCGAACGCCCGAGGCCTCATGCTATACTTTGCGCCTTCCTCCTCTTGACTCCAAACGTTTAGTCGATCGCCTTGACTTGATCGCCAAGGCGGAAGGCCTCATTGTGGACAAACGCCTCCTCTCAACCCTCGTTGAGAGTAGTGGACACGATATTCGATCATGCCTTAATATCCTTCAGGTAATTACTGGTATATTCGTTACATAGGGATGTTTGCTACTGGTTTTCAAAAATATATCCTTCGCAGTTCGCAAAGGCGACGCAGTCTCAACGGAGGGGCTCACCGACGGTACAGGAGCTGATGGCTGGCTTGGAGGGCTCGATGAAGGATACGCAATACAATCTCTTTGCAGCTTGGCAGGCTGTCTTCACTATACCTCCTTCTCACATTCTCACTCGTCAAGTCAACCAAAACAGTAAAAGCCGCACTAACCACAAGCCGTCCACATCTGGCTCCGACGGTGTTCTTCAGGCCAGGTAGTTGCTAAATCCATATTTGATTCATGCTTGCCATATTGAAGCCACACGAAGAGCGAGATTAGATCATATGAGGCGCTTTTATGGGCTCGTTTCCTCACTGACACTTCAACCCTATGGCTATCGCATGGAGCTCTAGTAGTACCCTTTGTTTCACCGACCTTCCAATGCTTCCAATGCACATTTGAAGCAGCTTTAGAGCTAAACAAACACCTTAATTATAGTAATATGTTCGTGTTTTCTTGGTAAGCGATATCTTGACATTTTAAAAGTTTTTGAACTCGGATTTGCAGGTTACTCAGTTCATTTTGATCGCGAAAGCAAAACAACTGCTGCATCCTTTTTTTCGCTTCATACTTATCGGTCCCATTTTACAGAATCCAAATAACAATGGAAGTTTGTGATTCAACAGGCGAAATTCCGACTTTGGTGCTGGGAATATTTGAGAACTATCTCAACCGTAAAATGAAAGATGCAAACTTGCAGAAGGTGAGTAGCGAACTTTGAGTAAAATGAACGTTTATTTAAGTCGCTCACGCCGGTTCATGAGATTGTGATTTGTGGGGCAAATATTAATCGTTGCC